ATAGTAGTGAGCGGACTTGTGACCGGATTAGGCATAGTAGTGAGCGGACTTGGTATGTGATTTAGATAATATAGTGACCGGTTTAGAGAGCCTGTTGTAAGCGATTTGGAGGCTTAAGTGTATGCAGTGAGCGATTTAAGTGTATGCAGTGTGCGACTTAAGTGTGATTTAATTGAACTTGCAGTAATAGTTGTGCGATTTATGGATCTTATAAAGCGGTGAGAAGACTAAGGCTGTGTGTTTTGAGCGGACTTCGTCTTATTTTGAGCTGTCTTGATCTTGATCTTAAGCGGTTTGGAGCTCATTATCTTGTTTGTTTTTAAACAGCATCTTTGAGCAGATTGTATCCTGAGCGACTTAAGCATAGACGTAAGCGAATTGTTGAGCATTTTATAGCTAGTATTGATTGATTTAGACTTCTAGCTTGAGCGGACTTAGGATGTTTAGCTGTGAGCGATATAGTACAGTGTATTGAGTGATAATAGTTTGAGCGATTTAAAGATTGCTTGATGACAGGATTAGAAGGTAAGTTTTGAACAGATTGCATGCAATATAGTGTTTCATGCATTGACTGTTGTATAGCGTGCAGTGTGTGATATTCTTCCATGCTTTGACAAATTTAGAGTGAGCTGTCTTGAGCTAATTAGAGAACTTGTAGTTGAGTGTTTTAAAACAGTTTTGCAGGTTGTACTTTTAGCAATCTTAACTGTTTTTAGAGTTTACTTTTTGAGTGTTATATTTCATACTTTGAGAGTTCAAGTAGTTTGTATCAAATTTGTTTGTTCGTAGATCTTCTTGTTAATTGATTTTCTAGTAATTGTGTAATATTTTTTTTCTATATTTCTTTAATCATTTTTCTTGAATGCATATATTATGTAATTGATCAATCTTATTTTTTCTAAATGGCAGATATTTTAGAGAAGGAGAATAAAGAGATGAGAGCTCAGATTTCAAAAATGGAAAAGAGCATTATGGAATATAAAAATAAATACATAAACATTTTTTTATGAGAACCATTTGAATGAAGAATTTATCAAAGATTTAAAGAAAGATCATAAAGTAGAATTGGAAAGAGTTGAGAATGATTTCATGAATAAGATTAATAAACTTGAGAAAACTCTGAGTTCAGTGAGGAAAGATTATGATGAAGATTTGAGAACTTGGAGTAAAGCTAATAAGTACATGTTCAATGAACTTCAAGAGCTACAAACTGAGAGGAATTCTTTTGGGACGAATACTAAAAAGTCAGAGAACTTAATTGATAAATCTGAGAGTGAGTTGAGTGAGTTACAGAAACTACTGGAGTTAGAGAAAGAAAAATTTCTGAAAGCTGAGAAGAATTTCAGTTCTGAAAGAATGGAATTTGAAAAGGAAATGAAGAGAATGTGTGATTTAGAGAAAAGGTTTGGAGCTGAATGCATATCTTATGAGAATAAGATAAACTCTCTAGAGCTGAATGCAAAAATGCTTTTAAAGCAAATATCTGATTTTGAGCAGCTGATCATCTTGGAACGGGCCAAGACTGATAAAGAGAAGAAAGACATCTCAGAAGACTGTCAGAGCCAAATACAGAAATTATCTGAAAGCATTGCTTTAAAGCAGAAAACTTTAGATGAAGAAAAGAAGCAATTTGCTCTTTAGAAGAGAAATACATCAAAGAAGTATACAGCAATTGCTAAAGAGAGCTTGCTAATAAGAAAAAGTGACTTGACATCGCTTCGGAGAATGATAAGAGCAGCTCAGATGAAGAAAAAAGAGAGTTAATAAATCAGAAGAGAAAGTTTGAAATGCTTCAGAAGGAGTTAGAAGGTAAACTCCTGGATACTTCAAGTAAATTGTCTGATCTGAAGACAGACCTTAAGACTGAGCTGAAGATGAGAACAGAACTTAAAATTAAGTTCGATTTAGTTACTGTTGAAAGAGACCAGCTTTTACAGAAACTCAAAGACTTTTCTTGTGCACAAAGTTCAATTGGTTCTCCATCACAGTGTAAAACTAGCTTCTATGACTGTTCCAAATCGAACAGTTATTCAAGCAGCCCTAAATCTACTGTTTATAAGAAG